AACGGACTCGAATTCAAACTGAGCGACTTGATTGATCGACATATTGACAGGTGACCGCGCCCCGATTTTCAACCCCCGTTTTGACCCCCTTCCTCCGACCCGATCGGTCTGTAAAATTTTCTGGGTCGTTTTGGTAACGGTCCCCGCACCCGTGCAAAGTTTTGGCCCGATCGGCCCGGCAGTTGTCTGGGAAATGCTCGTTCTACCCCCGAGCTGTAGATATACTCGAACTACCAATACTCACGCTAAAAGCGCAACGTTACCCGACAATAAAATGCTGACGCACCTTCAGTGCTCGCCTTGCCGGACCATCCAGGGGAAGGTCGCTGCGCTACCCGCGAGGGGAAATGTATGGAAATATTTTTAGTAAATTAAGAAGCATATGTTTGTTTGAAGTTTGTTGGAGGTCCCGGGTCGTTGCGCCGGACGAATGACGGAAATTCGTCCGGCGCTGTGCCCCCGACACCTCTAGTCCGTTAAGAAGTTCAAATACCCTGTAATAAACTAATCACCCCTAACCGGAGTCGAATTTTTCCAATTTTAAGGTCCGTGATCACTCAACCGTGACGAATTTTTTTGACATAAACTAGACCTCAACTACCTTGTATGACCCAAATATGGCACCTCTACCTTCTACCATTCTCGAGATATAGCGTAAAATCACTGGAGCGTGACTGAGGAGCTGGAGAAATAAAATTTCTTTCAAAATAGATTCGAATAAATTTTCTAAACATGCCCATGCCTTTACTTTCTTAATAAGTCCTTTCAGAGGCCTGCAATAAGCCAAAATCACTAGACCATGACTGGGGGGTAAGAGAAAATTTCTTGAAAAAAGCGTTAAACTAATTTTTCCCAACATACCTATCTATTCTATTTCTCGATAGCTTCACTTTCAGGTGCGCAACCTTCTTACGCCACTGGAGGGCGATTGGGAGGGGGAATTCCCAAAGTTCAGGTGGTGAAATATTCTACATATTAGTCCCTTTGAGATCTAAGCGTCACTTTGCCCAAAAACCAATTCCAAGTGCTCCTAATAGCCCAAAAACCATATTACTCAAGTGGGCGTGGCTTTACATACGTTTTCTCACCACTGGGGGGGCGGTGGCAGTGCCCCCACCCCCAACATCACTTGGAAAATTCCCAATACTCGGGCAAACGCTTTTGGCCCCGAAAACGGAGCTAAACGGCCTCTAAACCCCAAAATCACTCTAGCGTTACTTGATTGACAGCTTATTGACCAATCAGAAGCCTCGGGCCACTAAAAGCCCGTTTTGACCCACTTCCTTTGGCCCGATCGTTCTGAAAAATTTTCCGGGTTATCACGACACTATCCCCGACCTACATGCCAAGTTTCGTCCCGATCGGCCCGGCAGTTTCCTGGGAAACTGAGAATCACACCCTCTCTGAGAATATACTTCATACCAGCAGTTTGCACTCTGTGCAACGATTTTTGATTCAGACTGTGCTTTCGCACTTGCGTGCTTCAGGTTGCCTTACCATCCAGAAAAAAACGTCTGCCTGCGGCACACGACGAGGGGGCCGCGGGCGCACAAACGGTCGGTTGGACCATGCGGTTGTGTCTACGACGCTCGGCCGCCATCCGTTGCGTCGGACGGATCGCGGCTTAATCCGACCGACGCCATTGACCCCCCCTAACATAAACAGCTTCATCCGTATGGATGGGAGTCTATTTTTATCGATTTTAAGGTCCGTGATCACTCGACCGTGACGAAATTTTATAGGCATAAACTACTCCAACTACCTTATAACCCAAATATGAGACCCCTGTCTATTACCGTTCTCCAGATATGGCCTAAAATCACTGGACCGTAACTGAAGCCTACGGGAAAAAAAATTCCGCTGATACGTGATTGGAATAATTTTTCTGATCATGCCCATGCCTTTAGATTCTCGATAAAACCTTTCATAAGCCGGCAAAAGGCCAAAATCACTAGACCGTGACGGAGGCACGGGAGCAAAAAAATTTCTTGAAAAAAGTATTAAACTAAACTTTCTCAACCTACCTATGTATTTTTTTTTCTCAATATCTCAAATCTTAAGCGCAACATTCCGAGCTCACTGGACCGTTATGGGGAAGGGGAATCCCCAAAGTTCGGGTGGTAATATATTCTATTAATTAGTCCCTTCGATATTTATGCATCACTTTGCCCGAAAACCGATTCCAAGTGCTCCTAATCGCCCAAAAACCATATTACCTAAGTGGGCGTGGCTTTCTACACGTTTTCTCGTCACTGGGGGGGTGGGGGCACTTCCCCCACCCCCAAACATGTTTGGAAAAATTCCCAATACCCGGGCAAACCGTTTCCCGGCCCGGAAACGCAGCTAAACGGCTTCTAAACCCCAAAATCACTGTTGCGTGACCTGATTGACAGCCTAGAAATGGCAATGTCGCACATCCTTACTTTTGGGCCACTAAAATCTCGATTTGGCCCACTTCCTCTGGCCCGATTTTTCTGAAAAATTTTCTTTGGTATATTGGGACCTCAGCTATCTTTTGACACCACCCTTGTCTCTAGGACTTGCGGTTCTCCGTAACATACCCTGATGAAACGCCTCGTGTAATAGACCTTCCATTAATATCTCTGGCCGCTGGCTTTTGATTTTTGTTGTGGCTATCGCCACCATATCACGGGACGTGGGCGGGGTAGCATCCAGAAGAAAACGTCTGCCTGCGGCACACGACGAGGGGGCCGCGGGCGCACAAATGGTTGGTTCGGCCAAGCCGGGTATGTCCGCGACGCTCTGGCCGCCATCTGTTGCGTCGGACGGATCGCGGCATGATCCGACCGACGCCATTGACGCCCCCTACCATAAACAGTACTATCTGTATGGACGGGAGTCTATTTTTATCAATTCCAAAGTCCGTGATCACTCGACCGTGACGAAATTTTATAGGCATAAACTACACTCCAACTACCTTCTATAACCCAAATATGAGACCCCTATCTATCCCGTTCTCGAGATATGGCCTAAAATCACTGGACCGTAACTGAAGCCTACGGGAAAAAAAATTCCGCTGATACGTGATTGGAATAATTTTTCTGATCATGCCCATGCCTTTAGATTCTCGATAAAACCCTTCATTAGCCGTCAAAAGGCCAAAATCACTAGACCGTGACGGAGGCACGGGAGCAAAAAAATTCCTTGGAAAAAGTATTAAACTAAACTTTCTCAACCTACCTATGTATTTTTTTTTCTAATATCTCAAATCTCAAGCGCAACATTCCGAGCTCACTGGACCGTTACGGGGAAGGGGAATCCCCAAAGTTCGGGTGGTAATATATTCTATTAATTAGTCCCTTCCATATTTATACATCACTTTGCCCAAAACCGATTCCAAGTGCTCCTAATCGCCCAAAAACCATATTACCTAAGTGGGCGTGGCTTTCTACACGTTTACTCGTCACTGGGGGGTGGGGGCACTTCCCCCACCCCCAAACACGTTTGGAAAAATTCCCAATACCCGGGCAAACCGTTTCCCGGCCCGGAAACGCAGCTAAACGGCTTCTAAACCCCAAAATCACTCTTGCGTGACCTGATTGACAGCCTAGAAATGGCAATGTCGCACATCCTTACTTTTGGGCCACTAAAATCTCGATTTGGCCCACTTCCTCTGGCCCGATTTTTCTGAAAAATTTTCTTTGGTATATTGGGACCCTCAGCTATCTTTTGACACCACCCGCTTGTCTCTAGGACTTGCGGTTCTCCGTAACATACCCTGTTGGATCGGAGTCTGTGATTGACCTTCCATTAATATCTCTGGCCGCTGGCTTTTGATTTTTGTTGTGGCTATCGCCACCCATCACGAGACGTGGCGGGGTAGCATCCAGAAGAGGTCGCTGCGCTACCCGCGAGGGAAAAGGGGATGTCTGTTTGAAATTGTTGTTAACGAAGTAGTGCTGTCGAGGTGGTTATTTCGAGTGGCACGTCGTCACGCCGGACGAATGGCGGAGATTCGTCCGGCGTAGGGCCCCCCGTCCATGTGCGCCAACTCACATAATTTGGAGGTACCCACTTCCGAGCTGCTCAATAGCAACATTGTTTCTTTTGGTACATATACTAGCGATTTCTTCTAACCTAACGTTTGTGGTGTGTGACTTGATTGACGGCTTGATTACCTTGCAACCCTCTCAGTCCCACAAAACCCCAGTTATGACCCCCTTCCTGCGATACGATCGCTCTTAAAAATTTTCTGGGTCGTTTTGGTAACATCCTCCGCACTCGTGCAAAGTTTCGGCCTCATCGGCCCGTCAGTTGTTTGGGAAATGCTCGTCACAGTATACTTCAGAATTGTACCACTAACGCTCGACGAGCAAAATTTCACGAAATAAAAAATATTATGAACGAAGTGATCACCGTTGCCTGACAGCCTGCCTGCGTCATCATCTCGGTTGACGCTCTTCAGAGGTACCCACCTCCGACCTCTTCACTATGAGTATATTTCTTTTTCGTTTATATAATAGCAATATACTTTTATCCCACCGTTTGTGGTGTGTGACTTGATTGACGGCCTGATTAACTTGCAACCTCTCTCCGTCCCACAAAACCCCGTTTTACCCCTTTCTGCGATCGATCGATCTGAAAAATTTTCTGGTCGTTTTGGTAA